CAGAGACTGGAAAACCAAACCCCCAGAGCTGGAGCTGCCGGTGAGCAGAGCTGGGATCCTGGCGATCCCTGGGCTCCTGCATCCTCCCCATCTCTCACCACCAACCCATGAGGCTTCATTTTGTCACCTCCTGTTCTGGGATGAAAATAGCTCTTGGCTGCGTCCCATCACTTTCGGAGCGGGCCTGGCAGACCTGCTGGTGAGACCGGGAGGGACGAGGTCCTGAGCTCTGCTSGTGTCACTGGTGGGGACAGTGACACCCAGGGTGGCTCCTAAACTGAGCAGRACATTTTCAGGGGGGCAGTGAGAGCAGCCACCCGCCCATCTGGGGCTCTGYTGGGTCACACAAACCAAAATGAGAGCGTGGAAACCTCCAGAGCTGCATTTTCCCTGCGGAGCAGCTGCCCGTGCACAGCCCGGGCTGGGGATGTTTTGATCACAGTGGAATTATAGCAGGGTGAAAATGAGAAATGGGGCAGTGATACCAAGTGTTTGTTCAGATCCTCAGTGATGTTTTGTGGTTAGTGCTGGAGCTGGACTGGGCCTCCTCCTCTTAATTTTTTTTATTTTAATTTTTTTTTTTTTTTTAGCATATGGCAGGGGACCCTTTCCAGCAGAGTTATTTTTGACATACACTTTTTTTTTTAAAGAGAACAGGGATTGCTTTAATCCACTTCCACCTTTAGCTCCATTTAACTAGTGCACTTGTTTATTTTTGAACTCGGGGTTTCCCCAGATTTAGCAGCCATGCTCCAAAGGGAGGTGCTGCCACGGGAGCTGCTGGCCCCACATCCTGCCCAGATCCTTCTCTTCTCCTCCAAGGCAGTGGGAGGGCCAGGGGAAGAAACCTTTAACCCATGTTAAAGTATTAAATACTTAAAAGCAGCTCTAAAGGAGGAATGTCTGCTTCAAAACAGTTAAAACATCAATAAAGCCCCATTCCCTGTGAAATTTGGGGAAGTTTTGCCCAATTCTTCCACTGGATCAAGGGTGTTTGGCTCCCTTTGCCCCCTATCCTACCTTGCTTCTCTTTCCCTTCATTCCAACTCTTCCCAACCAGGTGAAAACATTACCAATGAACCTTAAAACCCTTTATCCGCTTTTCCTCCCTCCAAACTCCCTTCCCAATGGGTTTTGTGGGAGGCAGAAGGGCTCTGTGTGAATTTGGGAAGGTTTTTTTGATCCAAAGAGCCGGGCTGGTGGCGGTTGTGCTGCACAGGGAGCAAACATTAACGCACGGTGAGCAATTCCACCACAACCCTGCTGAGTGCCGGGTGGTCCCTCAGCCATTGATGCCTTCCCAGAAGGATCAGGAGCCCCTTCTCTCAGCAGTGATGCTTCTCCCTCACCACGAATCCCCTATTTACACTATTTTTCACTTTGGAACCAAAATTTGCCCGTTAGAGGAGCCGGGGAGAGGATGGGTTCTGATTTAATTGCTCAGGCTGGAAGTTTGTGATGTTCTCTGCTCTGGGGGGCTGGCAGGGTGGGGGCTCCCCGTGCCCAGGGGGTCAGGGTTACAACAGAGCTGGCACTGAGGATCAGAGACCACAGCATCGCCCTCCTGCCCCGTCAGGCTCCAGGGCAGGCTCCAGGGCAGCCCACGCTCCTCCAATCTCACACCTTCCCCTCTGGGCTCACCGAGGTGCTCAGGACTCTCCCCCAGTTTGGGGCTCCCAGTTTGGGGCTGTAGAGGTGGGGAGTGAGCCCTGAGCTGCTGCCTCTCTCAAGGGGCTCTCTCTGTGTGTGTGTGTCCCCAGTCGAGGAACAGCGGCCAGCAAGGGGACACGGACGGCGCGCGGCGGCTCGGACGCATGGCCAGGCTGCTCAGCATCGTCTCCATCGTGCTGGGGACCATCATCATCGTGCTCTACATCGCACTCAGCGTCAGAGGTAACACTTCTTCCTCCTCCTCCTCCTCCCTCCAGCTCACCTGGATCCCAGCTCCAGCCCAGGGAACCCCCACAGCCATCCCCACCCCATTCCCAGCCCCACTGCAGCAGAGGGCACTGACTCTGGGCTGGTTTGACCATCACAAATGTGCAAAACACCCCAGGGAATGGGCTCCTTTCCTCAGAAACACCCTCTGCCCAAATGACCAGCATGGAAACCCCTCTCTGCCCTGTCCAAAGTGCCCTGGTGACCATACAAGGTCTCCCTGGTGAAAAGTTTTGCCCTGGCAGAGCCTGTGGTGGGTTTCGACAAGTGGAGTGCTGCAAAAACAGAAAGGTTTCAGGACACAAAGCAACCTGCCCAGAAACACAACCCCAAAATATCTTGGGAACCCCCTAAACCCAACCCGACCCACCAAACCAGTACGACCAGCACAGCTCAGGCAATCAGAGACCTCAGAAACACCCAAAGGCCAAGCCAAGAACATAAAAAACCCAATCTGGGGGCTGCCCTAAGCCTTCTCTTTCTTTTCCAGTTTCCTAGAAGAYGTTTCAGCATGCAAAATACCTTGAAGAGGAGGAAGACAACTTTCCTTTTGGGGTTTTTACTTTCAGCCTTGCAACAAAACAAAAAATTGTCACAGTGTAGGTGGGCAGCCCTAGACAGCCTGCTCTGGAGCGCCGTCGGAGGGAACGCATGCTTCAATTCACCGCCTCTTGGGAATGAATGAGCCTGTTGGAGGGATGKGATAAAAATCGCCAGGAGAAGGGATGGGAGAGGCCACGTGGAGAGGAGAAGGGGGAAATCCACTACCTCATTCCCCTCCAGCAGAACTCACGGAGCGGGGAGACAACTAAAAGGGCGAGAGGAGGAGAGAGTCTGGAGAGCGAAGCTTGTTTCGGAAGGGAAACGYGAGGAGAGAACGGGACGTTTTGAGGAGTCCTCCTAAGGATTTTGGCACGAGTCACTGGATTTTCTGGGGGGTTGTTGGTTTTTAAATCGTCAAATTCTCTGTGTCTACAAAAAAATTTAAAAAAAAACAACAAAACAACAAACAGCAAAACAAAACAAAGCTCAAACTGCCATCGGGAGCTGAGAGCTGTTCTACAGAGGAGGAGGAGGAGGAGGAGGAGGAGGAGGAGGAGGAGGAAGGAGAGCAGAGCTGCAGCAGGACCACGGCTCTGCTCCGAATGAAACGCAGCCGCCGAAGCTGGAAGATGTGGTGGGTGCTTTTGTATTTTTGATGAAAAAAAAAAAAAAAAGAGACAATGACCATTTGCATGCCTTTGGGAATGTTCTCCATGTCTGTTCCTACAAGCTCTTTTATCACTTAGGGCAGATCCCAGAGCTGGCAGAGCAGGATGATGTTGCTGCATGAGAACCCCGGGCTCCTCCTCACCCCCATCCCAAGGAAGGCAAAATCGGGCTCTCCCTGTGAACCCACACCTTTGTCTGTGCACCCAGAGGGAGGGGAGCACCCCTGGCACCGAGATGAGAGCCTGGTCAATGCCCAGCAGCAGTGCCAGGGCATGGAGAGCCCGTGGCACCCCCTGACCCCCCGATGTCGCGGCACAGAGGCTCCAGCGTGACCCAGCCCCCAGCGYGACCCTTTGGGGCTTCAGCTTAGGGCCTTCCAGCAGATTTTCAGGGCTGTGGAGGAGTTTTAGACCCCCTGCTCCTCTCCTTGCACCCCTCACCCAGCTCTCCTATGGCTCTGAAAATCTCCGGCGTCCCCAGAGCCGCCTGGGGTTGGTTCTGCGAGTTGTTGCGTTATTTTTTAACCTTTTCTATCACCATAACGAGAACACCGACTTTGCTCCTCCCACTCTGTAGGTACCGCAGGCCCTGCCACGTCTTCCACCCCATTCCCGTGGGATCCCATCCCCACACAAACCCTGGGGAGCTCCTGGGCTTGGCCCTCTCCCCGCCCTCCCAGACTATGCAAAGTCCCTCTGCCTGCTGTTTTTAGTCAGRCTCGGGGACTTCTGGCCACGTCCATTGGCTCCCTGTCTCCCGAGCTCCTCGATCCAAATTTTGGGGACACACAACCAAGAGCTTCCCTTCCTGGCCTTTCTGTCATCTCCAGCTGCGACCCAAAGCCACGGACTGGCTGAGAAACGGGGTCCTTCAGGGCACTGMTGCTCCCTGACACCCTGAAAAACAYCCCAAACTCAGACCAAATTCCATSCTTCCCGGGGCTTGTCTACATGGAGAATCCACCAGACACTGTAGGAAACTTCACAGCGTGGTACCTGCACTGAGCTCTGAGTGGGGTGAGCACAGGGTAGGGGTGAACTGCAAATCCACACTGGGGTTACTCTGAGTGCAAAGCCAGGCATTGCTGTGAAAATTCTCTCATCACCTTTCTGATTGCTCCTCTTTAAAGTGGGTTTTTCCCCCCAGATGTTCTTTAAACCCAGAGGGTGAGGATGCCAAATGCCCCAGACACGCTGTCAGTGTTTCTCTCTCCACTCAAAGGGCTTCCAGGGGCTCACAGCAATAGCACAGCACTTTGTGGGGCTCCATTCCCACCCAGCCTCTGCCAGCGCTTCATCACAAACCTCTGGTGTCTAAAATGGACCAAATCTGCAGCTTTTCTTGTCCAATTTGGCTTTTGTGAGTTCAGCAAGCAGGCTCTGCTGAGCACTGCTGGCTGGGAGCTCCCACTTCCATCCTCTACCCAGGCATCTCTTCCTCCTGAGCCCTCCAGGAACCATCCCTTGGATGTCCAAACTTCCATCTTCTGGCTGTTGAAATCCCATCACATCCCCCAGATATTTCCTTCTTTAACTCTTGGACCCAGAAGCCACTTGCTGGGGAGCATGTGGGGTTTTTTTGGAGCTATAATGGGGCAGTGCCTGCCTKTCCCTGCATTTCCTGCCCTTTGCCCCTGGAGCTGCTGGAATTCAGCTGATGGGAAGAGCCCAGGAAGCTCCTCCTTGGCAGGAAGGGCCCTTTTTTTTCAGGGAAAAGCGCTGCAGGGAGTTCTAGGACTTGAGAGTGCTGAGTGTTTATTAAGTAAGAATTTAATTTCTCTTTTATCATTGCACAAAGCCTTTCATCTRAAGTGCTTCCCTGCATCCCAAGGATCAAACCCTGCCACCCCCCCACGAGCTGGATTCACATTATTGCTCTAATTGCAGGAATGGAAAAAGCTCCCAAATCGACCCTTTTTTCTGCCTCTTCCCTGAGAGAACCATGCATGAGCACAGATTTCCTTGGAATCTGTTTTTTCCAAAGGGATCTGGACAAACTGAACCCCAGTGTGGTTCTGAATGGGATTCCTGCAGCCAGAGGAGGGAAGGGCTCTGTGAGGCAGAAGAAATGCCAGGTCAGGGTGGCACAGAGCAGTGAGGGCATCAGGACTCCCCTGGATGCAGAAGATTTCCCCCAAAACCCCACAGTGGTGATTTGTTGTGTTTGCCCAAACGGGGTTTGTGCCTCCTGTCTCATTGGACAGCTCGGGTGACGCTTCTCACCTCATTATTAATATAATAAAAACCAAAATATTCAATCCCTTCCATTCTAAAACCTTCCTTGAACTCAGATTTTCTCTTATCCTGCATTTAAATCCAGAGGAAAGCCTCTGCTGTTATCCCTGACAAAAGAAAAAAAAAACTTCTTCTGCTGTCCAGGGCTGGAGGAATGAACTCTCCAGGGACATCCAGAAAATCCCTTCTCGCCCATCAGCTTCTCCCCACATTTTGCAGCCTTTTCTGCAAAGGTTTTGCCAWTTGCTCTCTCCATCCCCACCAAGCAGCCCTGGTCCTTATCCCGAGCTCTCTGCCACCTGCTGCAGCCTCCTCCGAGCACACACGTCAGAGTTTTCCGTGTTTGGAACAAAACCAGTCACGAAATCCTCGGGSTCTGGCCAACATCTCCCCCCCAGGTGAAGGAAAGGTGAGAGCACGGTGTCTACCTGACAGGAGAGCTGAGCTGGTGGGAGGAGAGCTCGCTGATGGGATGGAGAAGGTGGGAAATGCCTCTAAATGTGAGCTGGAGTAGGAGTGACGATCGACAAGTGTGAGGTCCTGGTGGGATATAAATACACGGATTGCGCTGCTGGGGAAGGAGCTCCGAGCAGAACACGGGGCTGGGGGCACCTCCCTGATGCTGCTGCTGTCCCTGGGCTGCTTGGCCAGGATTTGGGGCAGAGCTGGGCCCTGTGGGGTGGCACAGAAGGGCCCTTGCTGGGTGCATCAAGGCTGGGTTGAAGCTTTAAGCTGAAGCAGCAGCGAACCAGCGCAGTTTTGTAGCAGCTCCTCGTGGGATGCGGTGACCGAGGGTCAGCAAAGGTCTGGCACGACTCAGTGGGGTCACAGCGACACGCTGGGGGCTGCTGCAGGGACCAAAGGCACCTGGGCACGAGGGGAGCAAAGAAGGGCACGAGGGGAGCAAAGAAAGCCACGGAAGAAGTTCAAAGTTTGCTGTCTTAAGGATGGGTTTGCTTTTTCTGCTCGAGATTTCAACCCGGTCCAGTTTACCCCGCTCTCACTTCTGTCCCCTCAGCTTTGCCACTCCCAGAGCATCCCTGAGTCCCACAGCTCTCCCCTCGCACTTTGTGCCCCTCCTTTAGCCCGGACAGGTCTGCTTGCAGTGATCTCTCCTCTCTGGGCTCCCCGCAGCTCCAGCCCGCGCTTCCCGACCTTCCTTCCCCGCACAGATTCTCCATGTAGACAAGGGGAGCAGATCCTGCCTTTTCTATAAAATTCAATCTCCTTTTCCATCTCTCCCGAGCCCAGGCAGAGGCTGCAGAAAGGCGCCCACTGGGCTGGCCCCACCCTCGCTTTGTTAATCGTCACACAACCACAGCCGGGGTCGCGCTGTCAAAGCCGAAATAATTCCGATTTAAGCTCGTTTTTCCTTTCAGTATACACCCTTTGATATTTTTTTTTTTGGTAAAAACCAGTTCGGTTTGGACTGAAAAACTCCCCTGCTTGGCCGCGAGCCAAGGGGGTGCGGAGAGGGGGGGAAAAGCAGCCTTTTCAAAGCGGGAATATTTGTAAGGCATTTGCTGACACCGGTAGGTAGCAAAATCCCAAACCTATAAATAAATACCCATCCAGGATAAGAAACGTCAGAAAGGGAACGTGTGCAGGATTCACCAAGGCAACCCTGATACCACCTGGGAGCCCTTTTTGGAAGGTGCCAGGGCTCGATCCTGGGCACGGAAGGGCAGGGWCCGTCCCCCCACTGGGAGAGCCGCAGTTCACACACAGCATGAACACACCAGGAATTGCAGCTGGGTGCTTCTCTTTGCTGACAAATGTTTCTTTTTTCTGCAGGATGGAATGGTATATCTTATATACTTTCTTTGTTATTTCTTGGCATGAGAAAAAAAAAAATTAAAATGTAACATGCATGGTCAAAGCTGAACTGGTTTCTTCTGTCTAAATGAGCAAAAAAAAAAAAAAAAAAAAAGGATTATTTGAGCTACTCATTCAGTGATTGCTTCACACTCTGAGAGCAACCAGTTGGTATTTTGGGTGCAGTGGGTTGCAAATAATATGCACAGGCAAAGAGTAAAGAAAACAGGGAGAGGTGCAGACAGAGCAGCCTCRTGCTGGTTTTTACCCAAAACACTGGCTGTAGCCTTCCCAGGGGTTTTTCCAACCCTGACAGAGCCACCAAAGAACTCCTCAGGAAATGCTGATGAGCAGATTCAGCTGCTGGACTTGCTGTGGGCACTTTTAGGAAGTGGTTACAGCCAGAGGGTGGACAGGCTGAGCCCTGTGACCCAAACCCAAATCCCTCTGCTGTGRCAATCTTTGGCCTGTCTGTCATTTYSCCTCTTTGCCTTTCTTAAGGATGCAAGCTGTAGCATTTTGGGGCATTGAAAAATGAATAAACAGGAAAAACCCACTCAAAGGAGCTGGAGAGGATGGAGATTTAATGTTCTTGAGCTCATGAAAAACAGAATTATCATCCTCATGAGTATCTCAGACACCAACCAAAGGAACAGGAATTAGTTCACAAAGCCCAGCCCCAATAAGCCCGGCTCAATGCTGGCTGTGTCCCTGAGGTTTCCTGTGGATCAGGCACCAAGCATTCAGTGGGACAGAGCTGCCCCACAGCCTCCAGCACAGCAGCACCGTGTTCAGCCTCCCTGTTCATCCCACAGCCCTTCTGTTCCCCTGCATCAGCCCCCTCCCCAGCCCTGCAGCTCGCTCGGGCATTTTYAACAAATGAAGCCTCTTTCTTTGGGAATGGTGCATCCATTCYCTATTTCTTTGGAAGCTGAGCCTCATTAGATTTGCTGGTTCTCCCTCCTGAACACCCTCCCCTGGTAACACCACCTAGAGCAGCGCTCTYGATGCTCAGCTTCACATCCCCGGGCTCGGATTGCAGCTGCTCRAACCTCTGAGAGGTTTAATTAGCCTGGGTTAATTACTCACAGACACACAGGTCCAAGCTTACACCAAACCACAGCTACTCCGGTTTTACACCAAGGCTGGGCTTTGCACAGAGCCTGATTTACTCCGCCCCAGCATCTCCTCACCCAGCAGAGGCAGAGCTCTGCACCAGGGCTTTGGCAACACAGCTGGGATTGCAGGGCGGGTCTGAAGAGCCAGATTGGTTTGTCCTGATAGAGAAACAAAACGTAAATGTTTAGCAACTCCAGTGTAGCTTAATTCCCATTATTCAGCAAAGCACAGAGGGCTGTGGTCGGTGGTACCTGCGTGCAGCAAAAGGGATGGAGAGGTCTTGGTGGGGAGAACCTTGAGGGAACAGATTCCATTTGCATCCCAGCACAGGATGGCTGAGGCTGCTTTAAACCATCTGCAGCATTCTTTGTGCGCTGCCTAAAGGACTCAGCAAGCCAGCAGAGTGAGTGGAGCAAAAAAACAACGGCTTTGTCCTGGAGGAGGAGGAGGAGGAGGAGGAGCAGGATTTGAATCACACAAAACCCCCCACGGCACGGAGAGGTTCCCGTTCAGCGGCGAGATCCCCCCGGAGCAGCCTGACCATGTCACCAGATGCAGCTCCAGACTTCAAAGGGCGCCGCCGCCAGCCCGGCCTCTGATGTTGCGCTCAAGACGCGGCAGCGCCGAGTGCTCCAGCTCCTGTTTTATTCATGCCCTGCTCTGATGGGCTCATGTATAATAGATCCGCGCAGGAACAGCCAGGGGTTCACATCCCATTTCCACGCCGCGCGCGTTCCCCGCGCTCGCCCTTCTCTCCCGAAGTTCGTCCTCACCGTGGAATTTGCTCACTGTGAGCTCGGGGTTCAGACAAAGGACACAAAGTTGGTCACCAGTTCCTCAACTGGTTTCTTTCTGGTGRCTTTGCTCCAGTCAGGAGTTAAAAAGCGCAGGGAGAACGTTTCCATTTTCGCTCTGGCTCCTAATGCTGGCTCGCTGCTGAGAGTGGGCAGCTCAGGGATTCCTCAGGCTCTCTCAAAACCTCTCAGAAGTCACTTGGGAGGTGATGGAACTGGAGCCATGGGCTCTGCAGCCACAGGAGCATGGCAGGAGTGCTCAGGGCGGCAGAGAGACCTCGTGATGAGCAGCACATGGACATCCTGGCTCTGGTGTGCAGCCCCAGCACCGGGCCAGAAAAGAATAGATTGTACCCCAAATTCTCCCTGCTCACAGAACAGCTTCTCAGCTGCAGGGATTTTTAAAAAAAGATGAAATTTGGATGTGTTGTGGACATCTTCAACATCTGGTAGACAAAAAAAGAGCAGAGAAAAAAAAAAGGATTTGTCTTTGTGAGGGCGCTGAAAGGCTCTGTTTTCCTATTTTCCTACCCCAACCCAGCCTCCCCTTTGCAAGCAGAAGCCGTTCCTGCAGCTCTGCATGTTCAGAACTGTCACTGCTCCCCTGAAAATGCAGTCACAGCTCCCACATCCCCACAGAGACCCTGAATTGGGAGCGCAGCTGCTCATGGGACCAGTGGGGTKRGAAAATCCCTCTGAGATCATCCAACCCAGCACTGCCATGTCCTCAAGTGCCACATGCCTTTGAACGCTTCCAGGGATGGGGATCCCACATGATCCCACAGGGTGGATGTTTCTATCACATCTCAGAGGGATTTTTTAGTCAGAAAAGACACGTTTGATAGGTTTTGCAGAAACTGGGGTTAGGTGGTGAGGATTTGGGATTTCTGTGTTGGAGGAGAGCCTGGCGTGCTCAGGTAAGTGGGAACTGCACCARCAGATCAGGTTTAAATGAGGACTTCTGCTTTATGGTGGCTATTGCTGGATCCTTGAGAAGACGAAACATCTCAGAACACCTAAAATAGAGAAATGGGGATTTCTCCATGAGCTCAGCCACCTCGTTCAGGGGCTAAAAAAACCCAACCCACTGACAACTGCTGGCCCTCATTGTTTCCAGCTTAGCTGTGATGGGAGATGCTATTCCTGGTCAAATGCTTCTGAAGCTTGTGAAGTTGTTTGCTTTAATAGCACACAGCGTGAAACAAAGCAAAGGCTTCCCAGCAGAATCCTCCTTCTGCCGAGCCCGCTGCACCTCGCTGCCGCCTGGAAACGTTTAATTACAGCCTGCAGATTCCAAAGCGTTTTCTTCCAATTGTTTGATCTTGGGTACGATTTCATAAAAAAAAAAAAAAAACAAAAAAACAAAAAAAAAACCCTCGTGTTTTATCCTCCTTCCCAGCAAGGATCRATGCAGATGGATCATTTTATCAACTCCAGATGGGCAGAAAAATAAACCAGTTCCTCATGCCCACAGGTYTGAGGCAGCTGGCCCAGGTACACAACGGACAGCAATAAAACAGAAGAACCTCCTGTCTTTAAAGCAATTCTCTATTTTGACCCTGATGTTTGACTGCAAAACAGAGCAGGTGTGAGCGGAATTGTCCCCAAAAATGAGTTAACAGCCCTTCCTCCCCTGCCCACAACTCCCAGAGCACGGCACGCCCAGCACTCACCTCCCAGGGGCACCACAAGCGCAGAAGGATCTTGGCTGCTGAGTTAAGGAATAGAATTTCCTGAGGAAGAGTGGGAGAGGCTCATTCCCCTGGGATGTGGTTGTGGTTAGACTGAGGATGCTGCTGGTGGTGCAGCATGGCCAACACGTGCCTGCCTGCCAGGGCAAAGCTGGCTCCAGGAACTCAGGGTTTCCAAGATCAAACACGCACCTGAATGAATTAAAAGGATCCAAACACCAAAATCCCCATGGCAGAATCCCTCCTATTCCTCCTTCCCCCTCCCAGGGACACCRTGGCCCAACTCGACCTGAAGCAAACCTGAAATATTACAAGAACTGATCATCTCCCATTGTTTGTTGGTTTTTATTTTAAAACAATTTCATCCAAGCCAGAGCGCAGGCTTGAAAAATATTCACATTTCCTGCAATTTTTGGAAACACAGGAAGAGCTGGCCYGCAGATCCTGTAAGGAACAGGAGGTGAAGGTGCAGTTGCTGCCCAGCACAAAGACCTCTTTCTGCAGAGAGGGCAGACACACGCCAGGAATGGTCCCTGCTGGAGCCCAGGCCCCCTCCTGCCTCTTTCCAAACTTATTTCTTTACATAAGCAGCGCATGCTTTTATAGACCTGAGTCACAAACCTCCCCACCTCGGTAATATTTTGAAGTAAATTTAGCACTGGTGATACATGCCTGACCTAGAGGGAGCTGCATTTATAGCACAGAAGGGAAATATCCACATATCCCCCCTCCTGCACTGGGGTGTGGTYCCAAATCAAGGCTGACCAAGCCCAGTCCAGCTTCCCCTGACACTCAAAGTGGGGGACACTCACAGGATCCCCCAATTGTCCAACACCAGGTTCCCACCCATCCCCAGTGGGGACAAGGTTCCTGCATGGTCCAGTTGCTTTTTAATGTAAAAAATGGTGGTTTTGTGTGTTAAAGCTGGGCCTGCCAGAGCTATCTCATCAGCACTTTCCAGCTACTCATGATTTCTTTTTACACCTGCAACATTCCTGAGCATCCTGCAGAGTCTTTAGAAAAGGTTCCCTTAAAAAATTTGGCGTTTCAGCAGCATTTCACCCAGGAAGGAGCCAGCTCAGCACAGGTCTGGGGTTGGAGGGATCTGTAGCAGATGACATGCCCAGGCACAGGTACCAGCAAACATCCTGGGGAAGTTTCCACTGTACAGCTGGCAGCTCAATGGGACTTTGCAACCTGCAGAGAGGAGCTTCTATTTTCAGTGCAGCTTTAGAAAGACAAAAGAGGGAGGATATTGTCCCCTCTTCCAAGAACTCTGCATCAGAAGGAYGGGTATGGGAGAGGGAGATAAGAAAAGGAACAAAACATCTAAACCCGACCTGTTTACAGCATTTTTGGGAGAGCCCCACGCTGTGCCCCTGCTCCAGGGTGGTTATCAGTGAATTTCCTTCACGTGTGCCTTTGATTGATAGGCTTCAAGTCACCCTGGACAACCCTACTCGACTTCAAAGTATGGGTGGATTTTTTAAAAAATCACGAAACCAAAAATAAATTCTTGTGTTTGAAATGTCTACGTGAAGCCAAACACCCGGGAAGGAAGGGAGGAGAACTGGACGGGCAGTGCAGTGAGCAGACAAAACAACACAAGAGGTAAGACCGCAGGAAACCTCCCAAAATCGCACCACTGGCTGGCACAGGGTCCACAGGAAGCCGAAATCCAGACAGACACAAAATAACCCAAAAAGAGAGTGGCAAAGGCTGTTTCAGGGGTGCAGAGGCTCTGGTTTCCAGGCAGGCTCCTCCCGCCTCACTCGCAGCGCTCCGGAATCTGGGTTAGCAAAGCCTCAGGGTCCCATTAGGAACAAAGAACAGGGAAAGGGCTGCGACAGGCGAGGATGGAGCCAGGCAAGAAGAGCTGCAGCACACGCTCCAACAGCTTGGGAAGAAGGGCAAGATGAAGGCGACAGCAGGCTCCGAGCGCTTAATGAGCACAGCGCAGCTGCCGAGGMGCCGGCAGCTCGCATTTTCTACCTGGAGATGATGGATAAAGGGCTGGCGGTCAAAAACGGCAACACCGACTGTAAACACTGAGGTTTTCTATYAAAACACTCCAAAAACGAGTCCACGTTCAGGGAGGAAACAAAGGCACTCCCGTGAATTCCTGATGGAGTGCTCAGCTCCCTTTGCAGCAGGAAATGTGCCGGTGGAACGGCACCGGGTTCGGGGGAGCAGAGCGGGGTTTATCCATAATTCACGAACACCCAGAGCGCCAGAGCCCGGCAGGAAGGACAGCAGCTCTCAATGCGAGCAGCAGCACTCTGGGAGGCGGATGGTTAAAAATATATACCCTACGCCTGTGCCACGATAAATTATTGACTGTACAGGGAGCTGGGAGAAAGGATTCAGTGCCATTAATAATTTATTTTCTAATCCAAACGAAGATGGAATTTTATGCACCACTTATTACCAGCGCCGCAACTGGAAAAACTCACTGCACTTCCCACTATCGGAAACYGGAGCTGCCTTTCCATTTCCCGAAGTTTTTTTTGAAGTTTCTCCTTTAGCTCGAGACATACAGTCAAAGCCTTCCCCTGGGAAAGCAGCTGGTCACTCCTGAATATTTAGCAGGCATTAAGGATCCTGAGATGTATTTCTGCTTTAAAGCAGCGTTTACAGGCAGAGCACGGAGAAATCCCTCCCMTCGCTCCCAGCTTTGTGCACACAGACAGGGATCACACTGCCAGACAGCTCTGCTCGTCTGAGAAAATAAATCTGGGAGTAAATAAATAAATAAAATCGAAGATTTAGCATTGATTACAAAAACASCAGGGGCAGGTGGATACTTCAGGCATGACAATGCCTGGCTGGAACACCTGAGCAGGGAGGTGGAAAACTACAGGATAACAGACTGACTGTCCTGAAGACAGAAATTCTCAAAGAGTTTTTCCTTTATAACACTTAACCCTAAAGAAAACCATCATCGGTCCACCTGTCAAAGAGCAGCAGGAAAAACCACCATGACAATAATCAGCCTCCTCCCAAGTAGATGAGTCCAGGACTGCACAGAAGAAACACATCCCATCAAACCATTTTGGGTCAGGAAATGTTCCCTCAGATTCGGTATTTGATGTAAAACCAGAGAAATTTGATGTAAAACCAGAGAAATTTGTATGTTCAGGGACAATTCCAAAGTGGTGAGATCAATCTTTCCACATCTTCGCTGAAGCTTAGGTAGGCAAAGATAGTAATGGGGGGAAAGAACCAAGCACCTTGCTTAGAATTCTAATTTATTATTAAATTACATATCAAAGCCTTTTTTTTTTATTTTTAATACATACAGAGAATGCACAATAGGTGAGAACAAAAATAATTACAGTTACAATAGAAGTTTCAAGAACATATATGAAAAGAAAAAAAAAATTCAGAAAGTGCAATCAGAAACTCATTTACAAAGTCTYGGATGTTTTGTGAGAAAGGGCTTTGTTTGGGGTGTAGGGTGTTTATTTACCTGCTTTCCTCAGCACCACACAGACCAACAGCTGCTTCTGGAGTCAGAAAAAAAAACATCACCGCTGGTTCAAATGTGCAGTGACAGGAGAATGAAGGGCACAGAGGGGACTTGCAGATGTCACTGAGAACATGGCTCAGTTTTGGCTCAGTGTGTCTCTCACTGCAGTCTCCTGTCCTGCACATTTCAGAATTCAATTCTGTTTTAAGGAGTTTCAGAATCATTTCCTCTTTCAGCACTGACAGCTGTTACCTCTCCTTCCTGCCTCAAATGAAAGCTTTGGGATAAAACCAGTAAAAATACAAAAAAGGTTATGCCTCGAGTGATCTTGGGAAATGAGTTGCTACATTTAGAGAGTTAAAACTCTCATTTAGTCGTGGCTAAATGAGCTGCACCATCAGAAGTGGTGGGGCAGCCTTGGCTCCCTGTGCAGCAATTTTGGGAAAGCAGCACCTCAGGGGACATAGCCCTGCAGGAAAATCTGTGGACAATTCATCTGACACTTTCACATCACCTAAAAATCTACTTTTGCTCTTTCATTTTCAACACCCAGCATGGAACTGACTCTTCTCACACTAATCTTAAGACCACTCAATGAAAAGGGCTTCTAAAYTACAAATGAAAATTCTGGTTGATTACTCAGCGTCATGAATACAGCAGGAATCTATACCTCACTTTGAAATGCAAAATTCCTGGAATCAATACTGGTTAAGAAAAAAAAATGTTGTGGCTTCTCAGGAAGGGCAAATTCATTTTTTTTCCAGCAGAAGAACAGTGGTCAAAGGCCTGGCACTGCCCTGGGGAGAGGCTACTGCTGTGGGCACCCAGTTCTGGGTGTTGCCCACATGCCATTGCTCTGCTGCAGCAACCAGAGACTGCAGATCAGATAAACATGGAAAAAATAGTCCAAACAAAAGGGATAAAAATATTCCCACCCGTGTGAAGTGTGGCATCAGTGTCACCAACACGATCTTTTGTGCTCCAGTGCCTGGCCAGGTTAGAAGCAGCTGCTTCTCTRGTAGGAAGAATAAAGTAGAAATTCAAAAATTGTGTGTGTGAAACATGCCCTGTAGAAATACATTGTGGATTTCCCCCCTTCATTTCCATGCTCAGCAATGATTTTCTTAGCACAGTTCTTCTGTTTGGTTGAGTTAGGAAACTGCCACTTTGGCAAGAATTGCAGGAATGAGAATTCTTTAACCACTTTTTTTTTTCCCTTGGAGCAGGAGGAACCAAACGGAGAGAACGCATTTAGCAACAGGAGACACACAAACCTGTATTTTGGGATTKGAGGCAGAATACTACAATCCACTGTTTTCATTTCCCAGTCCATTGTTCTGACCACAGCTCCAGGTTGTTAGAGATGAGTTATTAGGCTGATTCTCCTGAATTTTGGAAGCCTTTCCCTGGGCCAGATGCAAACACGCCYCTCCAGGGAGAAGAGCACAACACCCGCTCCCTCTGCCAGATGATGATGAAGGGAAAACTCCAAAGATAATTAAATGGATTTTTCAACACAAAACCGACTCAAAACSAACACAAACAAAAACCATGGAGGGGCTGCCAACACTGAAACCGTTTCCAGTAAAGCTTTATCAGAGATAATTCAGCATATTTCCATTATTTTATACTAAAATATATCAGTTCCTCCATAACATTTTCATAACATGAAAAATCAATTATGTTTACATATTTATTATAATCTACATATYTTCCATAGCAGCTTTTTCACAATAAGATTAAATATATGCACCAAATAATCAGTTAAGTCCAATAAAAAGACTTGTTATAAGATTAAATAAATGAATTTATTTACGGTACTGCAGATCTTATATTGCCAACTATAGAGCAACCAAATCCTACAAATCCTAAACAGATGCACAAGTGCTGATCAGAGTCCCTTAGGGTGGAGGAGGAATCAAAGAAAAGGCAACAGGGAGAAGAAGTTTGATCTCCCAACACACAGACCCATTAATAACCCTCCTTTATCCATCAAACCTTTTCATAAACCCCTTTAATAAACACTTCATCTCCAAATGGGAACATTCCCAAATCAACCAAATAATCACCCTTTATTGAAAATACAAGCCCCACRGTTTTACACGTATTAATTCCAAATGCTTCCAAATCCCAGCGGCAGGATGGCTGATTAGAAGCCTTTGTTGACTTTTTAGCACAGGGTTATTAAGTCTGCAAAGAAGCCTTTAAATCCAGATATTTGGGGTGTAACAGTGTGGRTTTACACAGTACACAGGCACAAGTCTCTACTCCCCCCAACTCACAGACACTATAAAATGAAGTAAAAAACTGTGTCTGTCCCCCTGGACTCTGTTCCAGAGGAGAACCTGGGGGCTGGGTGAYGTTTGTGGGTGATGGGATCTGTTAGGAGCACTGTAAGTGGATTGTGAAAAGAGTTAATCAGGTTCTTAGAAAGGTATTTCAGTGCCAAGGCTTGAATTTATTGGGTTATGATATGACAGATGGAAAAGTGCTGTTGAAAGAGCAGAAAAATCCGTAATGAGGGAACCTGCAGTATCAAAGCCACTGCAGATGTCAGCTTTGTTTAGAGACACCAACACAACAGGGTTCTTTTTGCCTGTCTGGGCCAAAAAGAGGTGGTTTTCCCCCCCAAAGAATGGTAAATAATACTTGTTTTACTATTTATACATTCAGCTCTTTGCTAGGAGGAGCTATGTCCAAAACCTTTGCTCCCAGACACAYTTGCCTCAGGTAGAACCATCACCATTTTCATTTCCAATCAACAGTTTAGATCATACCCTTCTTACTGCACTACCAGAATAACTTTATCTAAATTACAGTATAGACTTTGTAAACTGCTCATCGTGTCTTTATCAAGATCTTTATGATGCCAGCCAAAATCCAAGTATTTGCACCCAAAAGATTCCTTTAGATGAACTCATGTTTGGTCACTTTTCGGATGACTGAACACTTGAGTAAACAGCTGCTGGGACACTGTGCTCCCTTTTTACACAGGGGGACTTTGTCAGTCCCTTTAAAGCCACAAGAATTCTTCTGATCTCCCTCAGAGGGTACTTGATTCATATTCTGTGCAAAAAGCGAACAGAACCCTCCTTTTTCTTTTTTTGTTAACTTCGAGGAATTTGTGTGAAGCACAGTTTTCACAGCACGAATTTATGCAGAAAATAACTAGAACCTCACCCAGGAGTTAWAAAGAATTACAGAACACGTATTTAGTAGTAAAGCAACCTGAAGGCTTAAAGCTGCAATATTCCTCTCACAGGGTGAAATTCAGTGCTGGGCTGGGATTAGAGGGAAAAGCCTTCCTGCTGAGCTTSCACCCAAGACAAACTTAATCTTTTCCCACTCAGCAGCCAGCACCAAACTCTGCTGAGCACTGGAACTGTTCCCCCAGTGCTGGTGAAGCATCCCATGGGCACTTAACCTCGCAGTGAGAAAGGGAATTAAAAGACAAAACAAATCCCACCAAATTTAACCCAAAGGAAGAGGAGGAGAAACACTGCAGCTTCAGCCCAAGCCCAGTGTCACAGTCTACCATCRGGAGCTCCAGACATCATGCTGACAGCCCCAGCCACGGCGAGCAGGCTGTGGAAGTCTGACGCTTCCCCCACTCGCTTTTCCTGGRCTGGGAGGAGGGAAGGTGGTGATGAGTTTGAGCAGAGTCCAGGGGGGGAACATCCATCAATGGAAAGCGTACAACAGCAGTAGGATGGTGCAGACACCGATCACGCCGCCCAAAATGAGGGAATCCCGTCGCTTGCGGAGGTTGATCCTTTGGATCAGGCTGTTCACTGCTGGGAAACGGTCTTGGAGGAGTCTGGGTCAAGGTCATAGCAGCAAACAGTGAATTCACCAAGCCCCAAAGCCTGGAGGTGGAAATGCCAGCACTGCAAGAAAGGCAGAGCTACTCCCAAGSTGGAGCAGTAAAACTGATGGATGGGAGGATTGCAACTGCACTGCACTGATTACAGACCAGCAGAGAAAAGGGAGCRGCCCAGAGCTCACATTCACATTGAATTCACCACCTGATCACCTCAATTACCAGCATTTTAATCGTCAGTATGTGAGGCTTAGTTACTTTCACTAATTGTGTTTAAATGAGAATGGGGAAAAAAAAATTGGGGCGGTTACATAAAACATCTGTGGAATTTCTTCGATGGGAATCTGTTACTGGTGAAGGGAGCAACCAAAGGCATTTGAAAAAATAGGAAAACCACAAACATGCCTGACYTAACAACGTGGCACAGTCTTTAGCCCTGAGACAGAATATGCACAGAACTCAACAARCCAGAATCTTAATTAATAACTGCAAGAGTGTGACACACAAGAGGATACTCAGGCCCTGACTGCTTTTAGCTGTAAACCACAGCAAGCAGTGAGCAACTTCAGGTTTTTGAAAGCAAAAAGCAAGAAATGAAACAGAATTATACTTCCACAAGAACACACAGCAGGGAAGACCACAAAATGTTGTTGCAGATGTCTACCTGAAAATTACGTGCGGTGCCCAAATTTGACCAAAACCAACTTATTCACAACATTTGCCATAAAGATGCTTCAGTCAGATTATCAAGTGAGACTGATAAAACCTGTCCATATTGTCACTGATGACAATATAGGTCACAGAGCCACTGACATTGCTGATCCCCCAAATGACAGAGTGAAAATTGTACCATCACTCTTCTTACGCACCGGCAGCACCGATTTTTAGGAAAAAGGATACTTGCCAAGGTATTCATCTTGCTTTGTATTGACTTCAACATCCCTCTCTGCGAAGTCATATTTTCTTTAGTTGCCATGGCAATGCTGGGGGAAAGAAAGAGGATCAAGTTGTTGGTGCTAAGAATAATCCACAGCTCACACAAGAGGAGAACAAGCAGGCAACGCTTCTTCAGAGGACAATGAATGAGGTGAAGCAACATGAATGAAACCACAATTTTCCCATTAATTTCTACCCTTTGCAGTTAAGTGATTTCAGTTTTATAGAAGCTGTCAACAGTGGGAAACACTGAGATTTATTGAGACAGGCAGGGTTTGACTTTTCTCCTCCAGCCCCAGTGAAAACTGGCATTACCTTACAAGCAACATAAGAATTATGCTCTCATAGCTGAAGTTTTAAATTTAGAAGTTTGTTTCACTTCTAATGACGCTTCCATCACAGCACAGATAAAATAAATTTCTGAGATTTGSTCCAAATTAAGAATGTCCCCCACGGTATGTACGTTTTAGTTTTCTTTGTTTCTTTACTAATACATGCSCAAGCTGTGTTTTATCAAATATAAGAACCCAACAGAGGTGAACATAAAATAGGATTTCCCATTTCAAATTTAATATGTTTTGGAGGYCAGGAAGAAAGCAACTGTGCTCTTAAAAATAAGATATGAAATGAAGATTATAAAGAATTGCTCAGCTGACAAAGTTTGGGCTCTGAAGACAGAGCCTAAGAAAAAAAATATGGCAAATACTTGCTCTCCTTGCTGGCATGTGTTTTAAAAACACATAAAGCAGGGCATAAATACAACAAGGCTGGATAATAACTCAGAAAAGTCACCTCTACTGCTGTCAACTTCATCTACAGGAATAGGAATGATTAAAACAAGTCCTTGGATGAGTTTGTGAGCCTTAAATATGGAGAGGAAATGTTCTGGAGGAGTTAAAGTTAASTGGAACAACACAACACAACAGAACAGATAAATATAATAAAAGTAAGCTAAAGTTGTGATTTCAGAGATAGGAAAATGTGAAATGCTGCTTTTACCTGACACAAACACATAATTTTTCAATACAGATACTTTAGTCCTCTAAAAAAAGCAACAAACTCATAAAACCACTGCAAGTTTGCTGTTGAGAAGAGCACTCAGAGAATTTTGAATTACTAAGAATCAAGTTAGAAAAAAATAATATTTCCTCTCTGCACACAGGAAAGTTTGCTCAGTAACCTACAGATTCTTATCTMCCACCCCCACACTGACTTGGTATTTGTCCAGATGAGGTTTTAATAGAGTGTMTCTCAAAGCACTCCTGAATTAAGTCCCATATTTTTATAAGATGCATCCAATGACTCATTAAGATATCCATTCATTTACAGAAGTGAAAACACACGATGATTGCCAGCTGCTCCTGAGCCACCTCCAAGATGCCTTTGGAAATAATTATTCCAAATTACCACAGAACACAAAGTTCCTGCTTTAACACCTGAAGAGTGAAACTGTCYATTCCATATAATAAGGCAGGATGTAAGGGGTTAAGTTTATGTATGACAAGATTGAAACCATTTTCATTTTTTTTTTAATCCAGTATTTTCAAGAATTTAGCTCAAMGGGCTGGGTTTTACTGAAGAGCTCTGAAGGAAAAAAAATTGGGGTAATTACCATTTTTAATATGATACGGTCTAGTAATGAAATGTAATTGCTATATTCATGAACAAGAGTTTAACTGGATTCCAGCTCCTATTAGCAAATCAAAATTCAAGTAAAAAGCAATGTTGTTCATGTGTAATTTGATTATTCAAACCTTGAGCTGGTTTATCTAAGCCTTTAGATCTGTAAAGGAGATTATTAAATTTAAGGAGCAGMAGAGAACAGAATTCCTGGGGACCAGTCCAGGCCTTGGTCTCATGTCTTGAGCACTGCAGCATCCTCATATCCTTCATCAGACAGTTTTGGTTTCATTCCCATCCCTAACATATGTTCATTGACTTGCTGCTGCCATTGCCTCACTGACAAATGCATATTTTAAAAAATTAATCACATTCTTCCCATTCACAATATTGGCCCCATTTAGTCACTCCCCAGCACAATCCCCTCGGATCACCACGACCTGGTTCTGATGTTTTGGAACTCGTGCGCAACCTTTACGATAAAAAGATGAAAYATTTCTTACTGGAATGGAGATGACCCCGATTTAACATTTCACTTGGAAACCAGCAGGAACTATTCTCAGTGCTGCACTGGCTGGAACTACCAGAGCTGGGTRTAAACCAAGTTTCTAAAACCAGATGGTATCTGGCCTGCTCTCTATATTTAATATTAAARCCCTGCTCAAGKGCAACGCTCAACATTGCTGCACTASTGGGGAAAAATCCTCTCCTGGCTGAGCCCAAGGTCACAGCCATAAAACACCCACCTATCTCTTCCCCAGATCAGCAGGAGTAGCTCAAATCCCTGTGTTTGCAGCCCTATTSTGTCCAAATTTCTCCCCCATTCCAAGTCCGATTGTTCAGTGGGAATGCAAGCGGCCAAATCTCCCTCAGAAGCAAACCCGGCTGATATTTGCACTAAGTTTGCTGTTTTCACTGGCATAAAAACTCCAGGGTAATAAACACTTCCAGGCATTATCCCAGTTGGACAAGTTTAACACRCAGAGATACACTTTGAATGCTGCCTGACTTGGAAGCGAAGAGTTTTGACTTAAATAAATGTTTAAGCTGCTGTTATTTCACCCCATGCTGCAGCCGCATCCATCCAATGTCACCGAGGGAAATGTACCAAAAAATCAACTTCTGGCTTCACCCTTTGAGACACATCAGTCAAATCTATACTGCTGGAGAACTAAACTCTAAAGAACTAAACTCTAAACAAAACTCTAAACAAGCTGTGTTATTAAAAATCAAATAATTCGTGTATTACTGGAACTCCTGCTTCATTTTGCATGCCATGAATCATACTTGCTCATTGAAATTCATGACAAGGTCTATGATTAAGGGGAATGGACTGTGTGACTGTGCATAGAAATGAAAGCTCCAGGTTGAAATCGGTAAAAATTCTGATTGCATCATTTATTCTTTGTCTGGAGATRCATTTTTATATTTGCATCTCTGAACATACACACAGGTGTGTGTATCAATGCATAGCTGCACGCACAACCTTGCAAATGACTTTAAAGAYTTTTGGGTGTTTTGATGAAGCCTAAGATGAGAASAAACATTTTCCCAGAAATCCAACCRTTTTGCCTCCWCACTATGGCGAGGTGGTTGTGAAATGAGAGAATTATCAAAATGTAGATCATTCCATTCTCAAAAGTCAACACTCAACATAGCTGAGTTTTTCCCTTTTATTCAATCCTAATTACTACCTAAAGAAATAGCCCAAATATGTAAGGAGATGACATTTAAAAAATGAAATCTATGGCTTTGGTCTGGCTCCAGTCCAATCTGTCAATATAAAAACAGACAGGCCAGGCCTCGGAAACAGAATTACAATAAAATCCTAAGAACTTGTCACACTGTGAATGCAAAACTATAAAAAATATTCCAACTGAGCCAACAGAAAAACACAAGTTGTTGGAAAACAAAAAATAAATGGCTTGCTATTTTGGAGAAGTGATAAATGTTTGAAAATGAAAACCTGAGAACTCCAAACATATTAAGCAAAATCTCTGCTTATATTTAAATCTGGCCAAGAGAAGTGAACGCTGTTCCAAAAGAACTGCAGTACAAAGTATCACATCCCACTCGCTTCTGGAGAGAAATATGCTGCAGTAAGAACCCCACGTCACGTAATTCATTTAAAAATTGATTAAAAGTTTAGTAATAACGCCACATCTGGACTGACAGCCCTGCTCATTGCTTTAGTTACTGAATCATTTCAGCTTAGGTGCCCATTTATTCCCTGGCACGGAGGTTTGCTCTGTGGAGGACCACGCAGAGGAAGAGTCAGACTCCTCAGTTCTCTTCCTGACAGAAAATCAGAGCRAGGGGATCACAATTAGAGGCTGTAGCTCGTCAACAAAAACCACTGCACACACAAAAATATGCTTTCCAGTGTTTAGAATCACTGCTCAGCAACAACCCCTAAGGAAATGRAAGTGTGAAGTGTGGAGGAAATAAAACGTGATTTCCAGGCTWGCTTAATTAAAAAATGAGTAATGAACTGCAGCAGATGTAAACCTGGAAGACAGAGCAGTTAGAGTAGCCAGAATAAGCTAATTACATCTCAAGGAATCTGTCCTGAAACAGCTTCTCCTGCACAATTCCCTCTTTTATTTGGGTTACAATAGATAAAGCAATTGATCAGTTGGGTAAACTTCCATCTGGTGAATTCACTTTGAAGGCAGCAGGATTTGCCATCAATTAATGTCACACCCAAACACTTGCCATTAGTCCACAAGAATAAAGAGTTCAACAAAAAATTCACCCTGGTTTCAGTAGAAGCAGAATTCAACTCAGATATAAACGGAATTACATTTCCTACTCAATGTAGTTACTAAATAAGCTCTTTTTGTACCAAAACACTGTAGAACATTTTTGGCAACAACCAGAGCAAGAATTTACTATGGATAACAAACGGTGCAAGGTTGAGAGCTCTGAGCTCCTCTGATGACACAGAATCAAGAATGACATAATTACAAATAATTTTGCAGGATATTAAGAGAAATAAATGACCATATGCTGTTTGATGCTTTGCTTACTGGAATGGCAGCAAAGAAGAAATTCACCAAATCTTGCACATTTTTGAGAAGTAGGGCTACAAACATGGCAATAAAGGAGAGGATTTTAGTGAGGAAAGGAGCAGAACCCAAAGTAAAACAAATACAGCTGGGCTAAATTTGACAAATATTTTTGTGAGGATGTGGTTAAATTGTACCCACATTTTCAGGTATTATTGCACTGATCACTTCTGGTTCATCACTGCACATTAATGTGGTTTAACACATTCTTCCCCTGTGTTAATTATCCTGAGCCCACTGTGGGTACTTAAGCCAGCCAGCCCTTAATGCACACAGCCTTGCTGCACCTCTAATTACTCTTTTTGGTCACTTATGTCAGTACATGCATTATCTGAAAGCATATCTGGCTTTCTTTCTTCTCTTTTTAAAATTCTTTCTTTTTGTTTGGTTTTTGTTTTATCTTGTTTTGTTCTAATGCAATACTCTAAAGTTTAATATAATTAAATCGGGCATTATTATAGTTTGAGTTATTGGTTTGCAAAAGGTCAGCTTGAGAAGGGCACAGATGAAAAGTAATTTATGATGCTAAGGTTCTAAAAGGTCTAAATCAGTTTAAGAAGGTATCACTCAAGTGTTCAAACAACGTAAAAACCCCAAAAGATTAATAAATATACAACAGCAATAACCTCTCAAGCAGTTCTGGTAAAAGACCTTACCAGTATCAGCTGCACACCAGGTGCTGAATATTCTGAATACATTGAAAGATTACAGAAAATCAGGATTTGGATGAGTGTCACTGTGAGAAAAAACATCTTGACCACTGGAAGAGCCCTCAACAGCTCAACCTGAGATTCCCTCTGCTCCAAAGGTGATTCACCTTTGAACAGAAACCCAAATTTTCTAAGCTAGGATGAATAAAATATTTAAGTAACACTCTTATGTCAATATTGAATAGAAAAAACCCAACCCTAACCCACCAGCAATTCATTRTAATACTGCCAAGGAGATGGAAACAATACAGTTATTGTATAAATACAGTGACAGATATATTTAGATACAATTTAATGGAAACGCTGATTGTAGGGATAATAATGAAAATTTTTACATTCATTCCTACCTTATTGTTTCTTCTATCAGTCGATCTGAGCTGAAAACCAAAAGAAAAAAAAAACAAATTAAAAAAAGGAACAAGCACTAAGGACTACTTTAGATCATTAATCAATGTTCGCCATCATCATCTTAATAAATTTGCCCTTAGAATCTTTTATTTCTGGATGTTTTTGCTACTCCATAGGTTTGGTTTATACAGAGTTTGGAGAAGATGCACTGGAGTATCCTCTGGAGCAGCATTTCCTAAGTAGCAGAGCAGTAAGAGCAGCTGCTCAGAACACATAAAGCACTGAGGAGACAGAAAAGGGGAATTGGCACCATGATTTACAGAGAACTGTTTGGAAAGGACTGTCAGAGAAGGGAGTACCTAATTTTATTGCTTTTTAACCCTGCCCACCCCTTCCAAAAATGTCAGTAATGATTGAAAAGCWGAGACTTGGGTCCATCTCACAACCCTGCTCTGGGTTAGTTCCCCAAACACTGGGTTATGCTGCTTAATGAGGCAAATTCCTTCTGTGGCAACACMAGCTGGGTGAGAACTGAACTTATGGGAACACAGCACACACCACGTGTCAGAGAGCCCTGGGTGACACGTGCCCCTGCCCTCCCTGCCACACATCGATCCCATTTCTGTGCAGCATCCCTGGGARAAGGGCAGCCTAAAACCCAGCACCAGAGAGGACATTTCATTTAAAAACCGGACACGCACCATTCAGGGGAGTAATCAGATCCTCACAAGACTGCAGCTATTTCTCCTTTTCCATACTGAACTTTCACACAGGGTTTTAATCACTGCTTTGCAGCCAGTTGTGAAAGGCCAGGAAAACATCTCTTGTTACAGCAATCAATAGCTCCAACGTAACCCTGACACRGAATAGGTGAGTGCATTCCTGCTTCCCATAGTGCAGGAACAACRGTGCATCCCTGCAACTGCTCTGTTTACCCCACAGCTTCATACAAATTCCTGCAGAATAACTACAAAATAATTGAGTTTGCCGTTTGAGGAGGAAATCAACCTGACAGAATAGTTTTATGTTGGCTACAGCTTTCAGGATTAAATCAGAATTTATTGCTTCCAAACGAAGAGACACCGAAAGGGCATGGCCGTCTCCATCTTCCTCCCTCCTCATTCCAAGTGTTTTGCCACTCGGGAAGGGAAGGTACTGCCAGCCCCCAGCACAGCACAGCTCTGCCTCTGACTCAGCCAGAGCTGCCTGATTTGGAACTTTTCTTCTTCCCACAGAAATTCTGGAGACTCCCCCCACTCAGCTCCAGCTGGGGGTGCAGTGAAGGAGAGCGCTGGGCAGTGTAACCTTTTCAGGAAGGGGGGACAGGCGAACAAAATCACTTTATTTGCCTGTGAAGAGGAGTGAAAACATGAAAGTTGCTATTTCAGGCTGTCCACGAATGAAATATAGACACAGAACAGAGCACTAAAAATATTTTGCTCAATTTTAAGCTGCCAGGGACTCGACTGGGGCAGCAGACTGGAGCTAYGCTCTCCAGGATTCACAACGTTGGTTTAAGCAAATAAAACCAGTTTTATTCGCTGTGTGGTATTTATTACACTGGCACAGAGAAGGAAAGCACGCTGGCTGCATACACAGAATGATGGCAGCAGTCTCACAGCATCTCCCAACGTCCCCAAGTCAGGCAGAACAAAAAAGCAATGCATTAAAGATTTCTGCAATCGCTGAGTCTCCAAGATGCACAATCCAGCTGRGAACGTGCCTTTCATAGATAGTCTCTAACAGACAAGGGTGTTATGTGGGCAGGGCATAATAAGAATAAACTGCAAAAGCATTAGAAAACAGCCTGAAAAGCAAGAGCAGTGCATAAGAATGAATCATTTTTTAAAAAAGGTTTGATTTCTTTTTTAATTTATCAATGAAAAAGTATCAAAAGCATTGCTGGAAATAGGTTGCACTTAAAAATCATCTGTGGAAGAAAAGATTGCTAGCATAGCCCTACCAAAAAACCTGCCTCAGAAAAATCATTACCAGCTTTTTGTCCATTTAACTGATGAAATTACAGTACTTTTATGTTGATGAACTGAAGATGACAGAGGAGCTGAACAYTTTTACAGACCTCAAGTGAACTAGGATGTTCTCCAAGGCTTTTAGAGCACAAAAATTAGTCTTGCCAGTTAGCAGCAGAGACACTCACTGCTTTTTATGTTAGAGAAAGCTATAGTTGGGCAGTTTTATTACTTAGTCAGAGGCATAAAGACAAAAAGTTATTTTAAAAGCTTCAGATTAAATTATACTGCGTTATTTTTATATGTGCKTGTATGTTTATAGACACACAAAAATAAACCCTGGAAATGTGGCTACCTGTAAAATGATGACAGAAGGTAATAAAAATGTRCAAACCAGTAATAACCAGTTCTCAACACCAACACACACAGGCATGAGCTGCAAATGCAAACTCCAGGCATTTACCAGGCATCTGAAGCCTCAAGATTGGTATTTCTCAACTTACATGGAGTCTCTATAACTCTTTAAAAGAATGAGATGCACAGGAATTTTCTTCAGAATGAAGATATGAAAGTAAGGGCAGACTTAAAGGAAGCACAGATTTATTAAACACAGCTTCCAGTGTGTTCTCTCCACCCCAAGAAGTATCAGCTCTTGAGAGGATTTCCAAACCCATCCCTCCTTGCAAGGTGAACAAACCCCACAGGAAATGGTCACGACATTAAAATCCCTGATATTCTGACAAAGGAACGGGAACATTGCGGGGATTTGATGTGCAGATTTGGATTCCTTGGCAAACACAGATTGTAAAGTTCACTCGCAGTGACACCCAAACAGAAGCATCTGTTTCATTCATTTTACAGCTCATAACCATAAAAATAAGTCAGATTTAAGAAAGATCAAGAACACAAAGTACAACAGGGCTCAGAGACTCAAGGGAAGTTAGCAGATCTCTGACTATTAATAACCTGTTCTCCACAAATAGAAGCTGTTCTCACAATTAAAAATAATGTTCATTTCAATCGTTTGCCAGAATAAAAAAATAACATTGAACCAGGCAACTGTGCTTAACAATCAAAACACTACAAAAAGAAGCTCCKAAATTAAAATCTATTGACTTTGTTCTTCTGCTGTCCAAGCAGAGACAACAAATGCAGTGGACATTTCCTCATGAACATCCAAGCAAAAGATGGTTGTGGGCACTATTAATCTGACTTGCCATCTGTTTCAATAAGCTCTGCATTTTCACCTGTCCAGACAAAGCCACTTAAAAATACTCCACAAAAGAAAGGCTGGAAGATGCTGAGGCAATCACCTCCTGTAAGGAATGGCACAAACCCAAGAGCAGCAGCCATGCATATGAAATCACCAGGCCTCCGTGCAACTGCTGCCTGCAGAAGAATGCACAGCTTGTCTTTTAAATATGCAGACAGGTAAATTAATCTGCAGGAGAAATTAAGTGAAAYATGCCTCCAAGATAGAAAAGAGTCCTCCCCATCACATCAGGATTTTGAAACTAAAAGAAAGCCTTTTGTGCTGTTTTTAAGGCAAATCACTGTGTCTGTACTTAAATAAAATTCATTAATACAGATGAATATTTAGCTGAGKATGGGGCTTCTCCCAGTTTTTATAGATTTTGCTGCTGATACCCAAACCAAGCACTTGCCAGCAGTAAAACTCATCTGCAAACAACTCATTTCAACACGATTTAAACCCTTCAGATGAAATTAAGGGCAATTTTATCACATAGATAATTAAAAAGGGACAGGGGAAACCCTGTAGAATAAACTAAATATAGCACCTGATAACTATTTTCTTCCCTTCATAAAGAGTAACTACAGAAATAATAATTTTACTTTGTACTTTCTCTAACTGCAAAATCAATCATGAAGGCTCTGCTCTTTTAAACTGCCTCCAATAAATCTTCCATATTTTCACAGTCCTGGATCACCAGGCAATGGGGAGCTTCCAGGAATGCAAATCCTAATACAAATATACAGGTTATGAGGCAAATCTGACTTACAGACTCAGTTATTTTCATCATAGTAACAGAATAATAATAAAAAACTACTGTGCACATACACAAAAAAAACCTCAGCTCCAACTCATTTTTTCCTGCTTGTCATCAACGTTTCTTATCATATAAAAAATTCATAAGATCATTAAGCTCTTAAAAAACTTAAGAAGAAGAATGTAAAGCAGAACACTCCCTGTGATAACAACATATTCCAGATTTTATAAGGCTTGCCTCAAGTTTGATTCCATTTAGTTTGAAAGCGGCTAAAGAAGACAAAAATTGGTGTAGAAGTCTATTCATTGAGTAGGACCAATATATTTGACCATGAAGCCCACATCCTCTATTTCCACCCTGAGAAAAGCTGGCTGGCCAAAACCAAAGACATGAGGCAAAACAGGCATTTTCAGGGATGAACAGTTTCCCCAGAGAAACCACTCTGAAAGCAGAAAAATATTCAAATACTGACACAAACTGCTCTCTTTTGTGGGTTTTCTTTGAGTGTTAATTCAAGCACAAATCTGGATGCCAAGGAAATGCAATGTTTTCACATTTTCTGTTGCAGAAGGCAACAATCAAACACAAAACCCAGCACAAACATGAGCATTAATCAATGTATAAATTTGCTCAATGTCATCACACCTACAAAATCTGAACACCTAAGTAAGCTTATTTCYGCACATCACTGCACAGAGGAGTCTGACGCTCAGAAATAATTTGCTTTTCAATAAAAGCAAAGAATCGCTGCAAAATTGGAAAAGAAAAAAGCACAATATCATGTTGGCTTTAATCAATGCAAGCAATTTGTTAAATCTAGAATGAAAGGCACTGGAACAGAACCCATTGCTCTAGGCAAGAGAAAACCAACATTGTCTGGTGCTGAATTTCTTTCCAGATGGAAAGAAATTGTACATGAGGAAAAAAAAAGCCACACAGAAGGCATCCTTTTCACTGTAAGGSAGAATCTGCCAAAGGATTTCCAGGAAAATAATCTGGTGAAACCTACCCCCTCCAACTGCAATCCTGTGACACAAATTCAGCTAAAAA